GGGTTTTGGGCTTCGGGCTTAGGGTTCATAGGGGTGTATAGGGTTTAGGGCTTTGGGGTTTGGGGTTGAGGCTGGGGGTTTAGGGCTTAGGGCTGAATGTTGGGAGGTCGAGGGCTCAAGCCTAGGGTTGAGGGCTCAGCATCTCAGAGGCTGGGTCTTAAGGGTTCAGGGTTTAGGGTTTAGGGGTTTCGGGGTTTAGGAGCCAGGGTTTAGGGTTTAGGGGCTTAGAGGTTAGGGTTTAGGGTTTAGGGTTTAGGTTTTAGGGGTTTAAGGGTTTAGGGTTTAGGGTTTAGGGGGCCCAGGGGTTTAGGGCTGGGGGATGAGGGTTTAGGGCGCTTAGCGTTCGCGGTTTACGGGGCTGAAGGTTGCTAAACCCTAAACCCTAAACTCTAAACCCTAAATCCTTAACCCTGAACCGTGAACCATAAACCCTAAACCATGCATGGCTGATAAGGTCTTACGATAGGGTTTAGGGGCGCAAAGATGACCCAGTCAGCATAGAGGCGTCACTCCTTTGACTCAGGTTGTGGGGTCTCTAAACCATAGACATACTAAGGAGAACCCTGCGGAATACTGAATACTGAATACTGCTACCAAACCTTTGGTTGCAGTACAACATGCTACAGCAAAGCCCGCAAAGCCTAAACCTCAAACCCTGAACTATGGTTTAGGGTTTAGGGTTTAGGAACTACATCAGATTGTATGTAGCTACTGCTACACACGTGCATAGATACATTGACGAATCCATGTGCATCCTTCTGGAGCTCCGAAGCAATTGTGGTCTGGGGAAACGTCAACTCCTTTGGGTTTTGGGCTTTGCGGAGAATTGAAACACCTTCGGGGTTTAGGGATTGATATGGATTAATAAATTTTCGGAACCCTAAACGTTAATCCATATACCCTAAACACCAAACCCTAAACCCTAAATTAAATCCTGATCCTTAAACGCTAAACCCTAATCCCTAAACCCGAAACCCCGGACCCTAAACCCTAAACCAATTGAAACAATTTCGGGGCTCAGGGCGCAAGACGAGGTCCCTGAGAGGAAGGAAAGCGCCCACAATCATCGGCATCCGAAACCCGCCAACCACACGGCGAAATCCATGAACCTTCAGCCATAAAGGCTCTAATGATATACCCTACCTACCGCAACCCAAATTTTGGTAGGGTCCCTAAACAATGATTACCAGGGGATATAATTGGAGTCTACAAAAAAAGAAATCCTTACAAACGGTCTTCAAAAATCCCAAAACGCGGACCGACCTCAACTGGAGCAGCAGAAGCTGCAGTACCAGCGGCCTGGTCACACTTGGGGCTTACCCGACGTGAGGCTTCGGATTTCGGGGTTTGGGATTAGGGGTTTGGGGAACCGTAAACCCTAAACCCCCAATAAATTTGGGACCTTCGGATTTAGGGTTAAATGCTTATTTCGGGCTTTAGAGGTTCTAGGCATGTTTCGAAGATGCGTTGGCTCCCTAAAACTTCGAGGTGCCTTCCTGGCGGTCTAACGTTTCATTTGGTTGACGGAATCTTGCTTAACTCAGAAGCCTCGAACACCCTGCAAAACCTAAGACAAGCTATCTCGCAAGTCAGGGCATATGGAATCCTATAAACGTCCTGATAATAATACGAATAATAAGAAGAAGAATAACTTACATTGTGCGGCTTCCAATACACTGTCGGCGCCAGCATTTCATCTCCGAGAGCCGATCCGCTCTGTTGGAAGCATTCTCGCTGGCCCTTCCGTGTTAAGGTTTGGGGTTTAGGGTTTAGGGTTTCGGGTTTAGGGTTCAGGTCTAGGGGTTAAGGGTTAGGGGTTTAGGGTTTTGGGGTTAGGGTTTAGGGTTCAGGGATTCAGATGCTGAAAGCATCTGATACCTCGACCGAAACTTAAAGTGTGGAATGAGGGCTTCTACTGCAGGGGCCTTGATGCTTGGAATAGGGTCCCGGGGCCCATTATACTATACTTATAATAAGGAACCCCACAATAGTATTGGTAATTACTGAGGCCCCTACAGTACCCGAAAAGCCGAAGTACACGCCAGTGCGCCTCAAAAGCTGTTTGCCGGAAGGTCAGCAGACGAACATCATCCGAACTTTGCACCTCGCAGTCGAAATTGAAGGCAGGACCGGATGTATAAGCATAGGGGCCTTACATTGTGGACATCTAATAAAGCAGACAGGAAGTATTTGTTTTTGATCGGTTCGATTTTGGGGCGGTGCCGACCCCGCACACCCCCCTTCCGGCCCCGCCGTATTTCGATCGTGCCGAAACCCCCAGATCCCCCCACCTTCATCCCCCAGCGCCTTAACTTACTTGCTCCATCCGTCCATCCATCCATCCATGATCGCAATCGTAATCGCAATCGTATTGGTCGTAGCAACATAGCACTAATAGTCATGATTCCACGCATGGATGCATGGATGAATGGATAGACGGACGGATGGATGGATGGTGGGTGTAGCGGGAGAGCGGAGGGGCGGGGATGATTTGCATGGATGACGTGGCTGTGCCGAACAACCCAGAGAACCCAATACCCCTTAATTAAGGAATATACCTTAGATCATCGGGGTGGACGGTTCAGGACCAACTAGTTGATCTATCGACCTTCTTACAAATCTATGGTTTTACTGCAGCAAGGGGGAGGAAAGATG